GACGCAAAGCTTTGGACGGGGGGTGGGGGGGCAGAAGAACCCAGAGGAACCGGTTCTGGAGTCCAAACCAGCAGCCCCGCCTCCTGGTCTACAGCATGGCGATGCTCTCTGGCGTGCAGTTGAGGTGCGTGGACGTGCTGCTGCCGCCGGGGGACTTCAGGCCCTTGGTGGCCCCTCCCAGCGTAGACGTCCTGGACATGGGGTCCATCATGGCCCCGGAGCCGTGCTGGCTCTGCTGCAGGCCCGCCATCATGGTTTCCGTGGTGACGGTGCCAAACTCGTAGGTGAAGGTGCCATAGAAGACCAGGATGTCCACGGTGAACACCCACTCGCAGATGGCGGCGGCGTGCTGCAGGACGAAGCTCTCGTGTATGAAGAAGATGCCGCCTGGAGGGAGGAAGAGTTAAGGAGCGGAAACATCTAGAAAATGAAGCGGAGACGAGCTCCATCCCTCAGAAACAAACCACTGGTTCCCAGTTTCCCTTCCAGTGGATCCTGTTCAGCTCCATCTATCGTCCTTCTCTACAATCAAGGCGTCGATGTTTTAACTCGGAAAATCAGGATTTGATGAATCCTGCAGTCCGTTAGCATGCAGACGTGTCCCTGATGAGAAAACTGATTGCTTGATTTGAGTTTGACTTATTTTAAGAGTTCAACACTTTTTAATTAAACATGAACGCATAAAAATCATTTTAAACTAAACCGGGTTTGAATCCGGCCTGTGGTTCTTTCCCATGTCTCTCCTTCTCTTATAACCCTTCTCCTGTCAGCCTACCGTCTATAAAACCAGCCACTAGCCCCCAGTTCTGCTGCTCTGCTTCTGCACCATCAGTGTGGATTTTCTAGGGAGGCAGAGCAGTTTCCCGCCAAAGCGTGGGAGGGATTTATCTTCCAAAACAACAATGGCGCGTCTGCAAGATATCGCTGTCACAGAGATAGATCTAGAGTTGCTAGACATTGAAGGTTCTGTTAATGAAGCGAACATCCTCGATTAACCTTTCGTCGTAGTTGTCCAGTGTAGTTGTTCCTGGGTTTTTAAAAATGGCGCGTCCCGGCACCGAATTGAGAAGGACGAGAGCACAGACACCCGGAAAGGCATAACAAGCACCAAGACTGCACCCTTTGCTTGAGGTCTGCGCTTAACCTCTGAGCGTGGGGCATGGTCGCGCAGAGACAGATTTGACGGTTGCAGAGGCTATGCATCAGAAGCATAAATTGGTCTTAAGGCAGATTAACGCCTGGTTGATTCACTCAATGGCTAAATCAGCCAGGAAGTGCTTTTATTTTGAAGAGCCAGAGTCTGGAGGCGCCCCTGTTAGTGATGGGTCCATTAACAGCGATGCGTGGAGCCCATAGAGCTGCATCGGAGCGCGAGTCGTTTCCAGAAGGTCATGTGATCGATCCAGGAGTGCTTTCTGACTGACTGACTCACTAATCTGGCTTTAGAAACGTTTCTGTCAACATGATGCATCTGCTAAACAAAACGTCTCTTTTGCAGTTTATCATTAAAATGATCCAGAATGTTGGAGCCTTTAAGAAACAGGAAATTTTCAGCCGTTGCCTTTTTATTTTAATTTCTCGGTGTGTCATCCTTTTCCTCTCAGTTATCAATCAACTTATCTGAATTAAAGTTGATTTCAAATCAACTCTTAGTTTATTTACTGTTATTCCTCCAATTTTTGGTTTTACAATTATGATTTGCCGGCTTCCGTAGCGTCGTGATCGCGCATGTGCGCGCTTTCAGGAAGTCCTATACACTACTGTTTATGCTCTAAAAACATTCTAAATGACTTCGTTTCGAGTAAATTCTGGATGCTACCCACTCAGGACACTTGGAATACATTGGACGAGCAGTATGGAGGAATATTGACACGTTTTTTGTGGACTTTTATGGACCTTTCTGCCTCGGGCGCCATAGACCTCCATTATTTGAATGTCAGCAGACAGCAAGAAGCCTCCCAGATCTCCAGATGCATTTGAGATATCAAAAAAGTACTCCAGAGTGTTGTTCAGCATGGGGGGGAGTAGAAAATGAAGGCTAATCATGTTTTGGGTGTACTATTCCTTTAAAGCTCCACAGTTGGATTATAGAAAAAAGACCAACAATCATCTGATCCTGATAAAATATGGTCAGAAACACCAAACCTCCATCCTGATTCTGTTTAGTCAGCATAAAATGAATTCCAGCACCTGGTTGGATGATCAGAGATAAACAGACATAGCGCCACCTGCTGGCAGAACCACCTGAAAGCCGATTGTCGTGCAGACTGATAGTCTGACCGTCCGGTAAAGCTAAAATAAACGGATCTGGTTCTGGTGGATCGTCCCCAGAACTGTTCGTAACAAACAGGGAAGCAGCTTCCAGGTAAGAAATCAAAGGCTAAAAGCTTCTAACAGCAACGAACAGATTAAACTTATCCAGGTGTGTTCATCGTTGATGAGCTCAGAATTCAATCAGATCTGAAAACTGATGAGAAAACTGCTTCCAGTCTAGGAATCAAAGATTCGGGATCTTTAACTTTTCTTTATTTTCAAAACTTTGCAGGGAGGCGCTAACCTGCTAACCCACATTACTTTCTCCTTTACCCCTCTGCACACGCTCACCCCCACATTCCACATACTCCATCAGCGCCCCGCTCAACTACATAGAACTCGTCTGTCATGTTAATCAGTGAGAGCTGATCCACATCCGCCGCCGCTCCCCCACACGTCACCGACCGCGTACGTCTTCTACGTCAAAATACGGAGCCGAGCTGTTTTTAGCTCTGCCATTCCAATCGCACCAAGCAGGAAAATTAACGTCAAGAAGATCCCGTTTGTCAAATTAGGATATAGTAACGATGGATTGGTAACTACAAATTAGAGCATATTTCTTATAAATTCCATCCAGTTTCATTAAATCCACTAACAACAAACTTCCAAGAGCGAATCTCACATCTTCAAAACAAACTTATTGCAGGAATAGATGAAGAGATGCTGAGTTTGGAAGTAGAGAACAAACCGTTCATAAAAACCAGTTATAAAATTACGAGAATAAAGTCATAACATTAAGACAATAAAATCCTAAAATTATGAGAAACAAGTTGCATTTTATATCAACTCTTCCAAGAAGCCCTTTCTTCCCTAAAATGAGGAATGTGGAGCATCAGGTGAAGTTCTACTGTAGCATCAGTTTGACCAATCAGGAAATCATCAAACTGGGCAGGATGTCAAAGTGGACTCTGGTTGCTGATTGGTGGAGCTGGTTGGCCGTCATCTGCTGGGCGGAGCTCCAAGCTTTCTTTCTGAAACAGGTTGTTTTAATGACTTTTTCTAATAAAATAAACTCTATCCTGGCCCTAATACTCCGTCGTATCCCTGTTATAAAAATCCACAACAAAAAGAAAATATTTGGGCAGAAACTGAACATCTGCTGGACGCTGGTGGGGATTTTTTTTTAAATATGTCAAATTAAATTAAGTGTTCATTTCCGCATGTTTTGATCCTATAAATGTATTAAGAATATCACGCTGCTCTGCTGGAGCTCTGAGGAAGTCGCAGCGGAGCAGGACGGGAGGAACAGCGGAGGATGCAGGCGGTGTGGAGCGGAGCGGAGGCGATACGTAGGATGTGGGATTTTGGGGTCAGTAACGTACCTCCAGTCTCTCACTGTTAGAAAAAGGATTTTTGAACAAACTCTCCAGCAGGAGGCGATAATCTCATAACATGATTCTGACCCTTTAAACAAAGATGGCTTCTTTCCTCAGGCCGTCTGTCCTCTCTCTGAGCTGTCAGAACCAACAGAGCCTGGTGTTTTGGTTTCATGGCGGCCATGACTCTTATGATGGTGAGGCCCCCCCTCCCCCCTGGTTTAAAGAGGATACTGAGGACGAGGGAGACCATGGCTCCCAGCACCAGAGCCACCCTGAAATGGGCCATCCAGTAATCCAGGGCGGTCACAGCCACTCGGTAGGTCAGAACGCACTGCAGGCACACAAACAGCAGCCCGGCAGGGAACGCCACGCCGGCGCCCACGTAGTGCAGAGACTTGGCATGATCGACCTGAGGGGCAGAAACAAGACAAACGTTCCCGTCCGTCAGACTCTACAGGCCTGCAGGTCTTTATGGACCGCCGATGATGATGATTACCTGGAAGTTCCCGACCATGACCAGGCCGACGGCGTTGGTGCAGCCGGACACCAGAGCGCTGGTGTTGACCCAGCCCTGGTGGCTGTGCTCGATGATCTGGGCGTAGCGAAGGAAGCAGACCATGACCACTGCAGGACAGAAAGGAACAGAACCTGAAGAGAAACGGACCTCATCTGAACGCCAGAGCCAAACGCTTCGGACTGAGAAGTCATTTCTGATCAGACAGGAGCCATTTCTGGACGTCCCACGGGGGCCGATGGTTCCGGGAACCTCAGCAGCTGAACCTGCTGCTTCGCTCAGTAAAAACCCTTTGACTAGAATAACGACGCTCCATCTGATATCAGAGATCTGATGCAGCGTAATGCCTATGAAATGATGTGCATCATTTCATAGGCATTACGCTGTTCTGCGTTATGCATAAGTTAGGCTGTCGTTTGACAGCAGTTGTGGACTTTTCTTGAATACTCTCTGCATACACCCAAAACCGAAAAAGTACATAGAAAGTTCAGCATTTTTCTGCTTTTTAGGACATTCTGCACATGCTGGCCAAACCTGGCCGAGTCACTAAACCTGTATGACTCGACCGGCTGAAGGAGAGCGTCATGCTTCCAGAGAGTGGAGGTCAGAGGAGGACGTACCCATGAAGGCTCCAACGTTTCCAATCAGGCTGAACAGGCAGCTCTCAGGAGGGAAGGAACCGCATTTACTGCAGGACACAAACACATGAAAGCATCACCATGGCGACTAAACATGCAGACAGAGGTTCATTTAATAATTCATTTAATTTCGGATGGCATGGTTCCGTCCCACAGAGCAGAACCAGATGTTAACTCATGCTCCAGGCCCGGCGCCGGCTGGGCCAAAGAACGGACCTGATGAGGGGGATGTCCTGGATGGTGCAGCAGGTCTTGGGGAAGCCTGGGCGGGGCAGCTCCTCTGTGCAGGTCACGTTGTAAGACCTGTAACCGAGACACAGCGGGTTCAGCGCGACACCTGGAGGACCAGAACCTCAAACTACCACAGCTTTGGGTTTTAGAATCCAGACCAACAGCAACCAGTGGAGAACAGGGAGGGGAAGGAGGAGATCCATCTGACCTCAGCCTCTTTTAATCTGAGGCCCTTAAATAAAATCCAGTCAGAAGAATCAGAGGCTCCGACCCAAACGGAGAAAAACATGTTTACTGAGAGCAAAGAACACGATTCCACAGTGGAAATTTAACTAAAGGTGTTTCACAAAATTAGAAAAACTTCTGCAAAAGCTCAATGTTTTTATAGTTTCCTTATTTTCAGACGTTATTTTCCAAATATAAAATCGATTTATTTCATTATTTTTGGGGACGAGAATGAGTTTAATAGTTTACATTCTTTTGAAATCCCGTTTTGACAGATTTCTCTCTCTAAGCCTCTGGATTGTCTGAGCATCGACCAATAGAATTGCTGTTGCTAAGGTCCAGGCAGGAGGGAGGGGCTACTATATTTGGGCAAAAATGGCCGCCAACAGACTCAGTGATTGCAATAAAAATTATTATTTTTTTCAACAGATTAATGCAAAATTCATTAAATCGAAATCATTCCTGGCTGACCGGACTTTTCCTTTAAAAATTACAATGAAAAGCTTTTTTAAAGTAGAGAATTTTTGAAATCTGGAGATGTGATCCTTGCTTTCAGCAACACTGGAGCAAACCTCTCTGTCGGCAGCAGTGCAGCTAAATGCGCCATCAGAGGCTGCAGAGGTTCGGCCTCCACCGCTGCAGCCGCTCCTGGCCTAGTTAAAGTCCAACCTCTCCTCCTATCCCACCTCACAGTTCCAAACCACTTCCTGTGGCCCAGTAAATCATTTTCACATAGATTCCTACTTTAGCCAAAGCTGTGAAATAAGTCTACATGTTAAAGAGCTTTTAATAAATATTGATGTTAATAAAAAGAACCACCAACCAGTTCTCTACAGGACAAACATGGTGATTCATCACAGCCATAGCATACCTGCAGGTAAGGAAAGGTCAGAGGTTTATTACAATGCTCATCTATATTACACCAGTCCATTTAAATCACTAAAGTCCTGATATAGCAGATATATGCACTAAATGTTTAGTTGATAAAGGGATTTTTTTCATTGTATCTGCGAATGAAGGGAAATTAAAAAGCTGTGGAGAGCGATAAAGAAAATACTATAGGATGTTGTAATAGATCTGGTTTCCCTCATTTTAGGATTGTATCCAAAAACACTTTGTTCACCAAATGTGAACAATTATTGATTGATATTTATCTGCTAAAAGCTAAAAGCCTGAAAAAACCCGACAGGAGCAGATATCAAACAATGGATCAAAAAAACGCTGAAGACTTATATGAAATCACTTTGAAAGCCTTCTGGAACTTTGCTGCAGGAGTGGACTTGTGTCCAGATGAAGAAGCCCATGGGCGGTTCTAGACAGGGGCCAACGGGGGCCCGGTCCCTGTAGATCATGTCCTGGCCCCTGTACTGAAGACATGATACTCAGAGAAACCCTAACGATGATCTGCGCTGGAACAGACATGGTTACTGATTGGTCCTTTGGATCTATTTCATTTTTTTCTTCACAAATTCTGTTTTACTAATTATTTAAAAACAATTAGGTGATAGCTTCAGCGTGTTGGGACAGGATTCCAGTTTTAATCTGCTAAATGTTTTTTTTTTCAAACCAAAAACAAATAAAAAAAATAAAAATTTTTACAGCTGAATTTATCAGTTTTTCTTGAGTTCTAATTCAGACTTTATAGAAAATGGTCATTTTAAACTTAAGTTCAGTCAAATTACCTAAATCCTGAATGTATATTGACCTAATAAGACAAAGAATTTTAATTAAACCTAATTGAATAGAAATTTCACTTCATGTATTTATATTAATATATTTGAATCTATTGCCCTGTTTTTTATTTCATGCTTTTCTGTGCCCACATTAAAAAAACGCTGGCCCCCTCGTGGCCCCCCCGGTACATTTGGTCTAGAACCGCCACTGAAGAAGCTAAAGACAAGATGAATGTGGGACTAAAAGGTTAAACAAAGGGAGCCTCAGCAATGGACCATTATCTTCTGTATCCTCTAAAGAATCTATGCAGAGATGCGCCTCAGACGGCGTCTGTAGCTGTTGTTGTATGGAGTCAGAAAGGGGTCTAAATGTTTCTAAACTTATTAATCTTTGTTGAAACTGAAAGAACAACAGTTGAAACATAAAAAATATAAGTTGACATTGAATATCCAATTTTTACCTTATAATCTGAGAAACTAAAAAAGGAAACTGAAATAAGAATTAAATCTAAATTCTTCCCCTCAGCTTGAAAAAAAAGCTCAATTCAGTTTAGTATTTTAATTACATATTTTTACGTTTTTGTCAGTTTCTGTTTCTTTTTTTAGTTTTATATTCCTTTTTCACTTTTTATTTTTTTACACTTTCAAGTCAGTTTTTTTCACATTCAGATTTTGACCCTGATCTGATGGAAGTGGGCGGGGAAACGTGATTGACAGCAGCACTGGAGAAATGTCCCGTTCCATGTTGCATCAAAAGCGTAAAAAAAATAAAATAAAATCCTCAAACTG